AAGAAGAAGAAGAAGAAGAAGAAGAAGAAGAAGAAGAAGAAGAAGAAGAAGAAACGTTGGGTGCCATAAAGTTATCGACAGACATTGTTTGGTATCCAAATCTTGCAAAAGACTCTGTTTCCATTCCATAATAAGGCGACGCTTTCGTAAAACCGGTTTGTTCGGTTAGCTTTTGGGCTTTCAAATATATCAGTTGCTAACATGCTGAACTGCCGTGGTTCGAATCCCAGACTGGGCGTTTTTGACGTCGATCGTTTTGTGGTCTCTTCGGAGGAAGGCGTTATGTTCGGAGGTCCCGCCTCTTAAATTACCAAAAAGTGTTTATAGGGGTGTTAAACCCACTTTAATTTGTGGAGTTTTCAAGGTTTACAGCTGTTTGGCTCAGACTTATCGGAGATGGACTCCAAATTCACAGGTCCTACTTTTAGAATGATCATGCATCGGTGAAAAAAGTGGAAGGGGGCGGTAGGGGGGGGGGGTCAAACCATACCAAAAGCTCATAAAGTAAGCGTTGTTTGTCTGTTTTCCTGTATGACCTGTACGGGATACGGGAAGGAGTTTCCGAAAACACAAGGAAAAAAAAAAAAGCCAAAGCATATCAAAAGTATTGGAAGTTAATACCCGGCCTCTGCAAGATAATCAAGGGTATTACTCATACTGAGACGCGAACCAAGCTCAAAGAATTCGAACACCCTGTGAAAATACAAACAAATTAACAAGTCATGGAAATAAAAAAAGAAGAACCGAAGAAAGACGATTTGCATTTATTTTCACAAAACGGTGCAGGTATACTTTTAACTCGGCTGTGAATTTTTCCCAGGGTAAATCTTGTGATTTATTGTTGGGCTAAATTGACCGGAAGTGCGTGTCAGGCCTTTCCCCAAGCGACTGCCTATCCCTAGATATGCTAGATTTTTTTCAACCAGGTACATTAGACTGAACCAATCAAATTCAGGACGTCTGTTGAACTCCTGTTTTCACACAAACAGAAGCTAGTTAATGGGGGTAGGAGAGTTTATGAGCTGATAGCTTCTCGTCCGATGGTTGCTCTTTCTCTCCCATTAGCGAGCTTTGTTTATGTGGCTGAAGTCACGATTTATTTCTTGAAGTGCATGACCCCTCTTTGATTCAGGGTCGGCACTTCTTTTCGCTTAGGGATTCTCGGG